TCTGCTCAGGTCCCTTCCAACCCTACTAACTATGAAGCTAGGAAACAGGCCATGGTTCCTGATTGTGACCTGAAACACTCTCTATGCGTCTGTAAAATGAGGCTTATAACTTATCCATCTTTATGGAATATTTGGAATTCTTTGAATGAAAAGCCCTAAGAAGTGCAGACTATCACGGTGATGATGTGTAAATAAATAAATGCATTTTGTGTTTAATCCTGCATAAAATATGATGCATAGTCAAGGTTTAAAATCTGAGGCATAAGATAATGTGTTGTTTTTGTCATGACTGATTTTATTTCATCTTAATTTTATAGAAGCTGAATTGATAGTTGCTTTAAAAAATGCTTAAGATTTCTTTCCAGTCAAGTTCATGAGTACTTTTGCAAACTTGGAAATGAGAAATTATGACCCTAAGATAATTAGAGTTGACAATCTTGTTATTTTCCTCCGCTGCATGTTCATGCCCTCACAGATGGAAAAGTAGCATAACGATTTTTTCCCCAGCTCCTCTTCATCCTCTGTCAGTGAAACCATCAACAATGGCATCACAAACCATAAATTACTGATAAAGTCAGACTTCTACATTTGAAACACTTTTCCCTGCATGCTGGAATCACTCCATTCCTAGAGAGTCAATATTTTTATACTCTGATACATTTCAAAGTAATTTTTAAAATTGCACTGGCAACAAGGGCTCGAGAAGAACTGATCTTGCGTCTCATCTGTCAGGTGGACTCCCCCTCAGCACGCCTGACTGAATACAGCTAGCTCTGTGTCCATGTTAGTATGTACCCTGTGTTTCTCAGTGTTTCCTCCAATGCAGCTTTCCTGAAGTTGGTAACACTTTTTTCCCCTCTCTGCCAGGACCATGCAGATATTGAGTGGAAGTTTGCACGGACCAAGCTCTGGATGAGTTACTTCGATGAAGGGGCCACACTGCCCCCACCTTTCAACATTATCCCAAGTCCCAAGTCAATCTGGTACCTTTGCAAGTGGATTCATTATCGACTGTGTCCTGGCAAGGACTCTGAGGATGAACAGAAGAGGCATGAAAACCTAAAAACATTTACAGTAAGGAGCCTAACATCTTAATGTCTCATTTTTCCAGAGTATTGTTTATTAATTCAGGCTACAGAGGCCAAAGTTCTTCTGGGGCTGGTAAGAGGCTATTGCTGGTACTACAGCTGCCTAAGCACCCTTGGAGATGGGGAGACATGACTTAACTGATAGCCATACAGTGTGCATTTACTTTTTTTAATTTCAGGAACGGCATGCTGACAACCTGATCCAGAATCAACATTACCAGGTAAAGACTCCAGTACTTGAAGTCTTTTTTGCCTATTTTTTGCTCCTGTTTGATTTTTGACTCCTTACCTGCTGTGTTCCTCTGATATAATTTGACAAGTGTAGGAGCTCCAAAAAGTTTCTGCTTACCACAAAATAAAATACACACAGCTTCTTCCAAACAGCCTGTGTGGCTCAGGAATCACCCACAGGGCTTTTATCTCTTCAAGTAAACAGAAAAGCTTCTGAGATGAAATTATCGTCCCGCTGAAGTCAATGGCAACGTTCCCTTTGACTTCAGCAGGGTCCAGATTTCATGCCAGGTCTCCTTCTGAGAGAGGTGAAGAAAAATCCTGATCAACAAGTCAAACATTTAGGGATTTTTTTTTTCTCAATGGATTCCCAGACTTAACACAAAAAAGAGGAGGTGGGATTTTTTTTCTTCCACTAAGGATTGCTCAGATAAGAGAAATGTTTTCTCCTGCAGCTTGTATTTGATCTCAGCCTGCCTGTCTTCAAAAATTCATCAAATTCCATCTACAAAAGGATGAGTCCGTGTTTAAAAATACCAGCTTTTTAAATCCAATTTAATTCATTATGTTAGCATTTTGGAAGGAAAAAATAATACTTACCACCTCCCCCCACCACTCATGTGATTTACTATACCCCATTTCCAAGAGTGATGGATGATTTTGAGTGCCCAATACCCTAGAGTGATGTATTTTTCAGAGGACAAGTGCTTCGCAATTTCTGAAAATCAGACTCTTCAACACGCCTGAAGTTGGGTAGCTCAGGCACAAGGGACCCACAATCAGTAGCCACTTTTGAAAATGAAGATCTCATTCCTTTTCAACTTCATGGTACTGTTCACAAATACTAAGGCTAAGATTTTCCAAGAAGAGACAACCTTTAAAAACTACGAAGTAAATAATTAACCTTGAATTAACTTTCCTAGATAAACACGCATTTTAGGTTCATTGTCACCATTTATAGGTGTGAAAACTTAGATGCTTTTGAGGCAACATATCTACTAAACACATGATCATATATCTGCTGAAAAGGATGTGACTATTTGTACATGTATACTTGTGCACATAAATGTAGGGAATAAATAGCAGCGTGCTTAGGTAAGTACAGAAGTTGATACACAAATGCAGGTACAAGGGGGCATGTTGTACAAATTAACATCTTCCGACAAAAATCTGTACTGAATTGAATAGCTAAAAGGACATGAAACTAGTCCCTAAACACTTGATCCTGCAAAAAGGTGATCATCCTCAGCTGCCAGTAGGATGTTCAAGGAGCCTAGCAGGATGGAGTCCTTAACCTACCCTTTAAGACAGAGCATGCCCTTGAATAGTTACTTCCTTCAATGAAAACACTACATGCATGCATCAGCTAATGTGGCTCTACATATAGTTATAAAATTTAGCCTGTTCTTTAGCATATGCATATTTTTTCTCTGGTACTGCCCATGACTCCAGTATGTGCTATAAACAAAACGCCAAATGGCTTGTTTTAGCAATTTCAGAATATATTGCATGTACACATCAGACCTGTAATATTGAAAGTGTTTTACAGTCATTGACTAATTAACTGAGACAGAGGTTAAATGGCTTGAAATCATGTACAAAATAAAGGAAACTGAGAAATGAAATCTCATTGCACGCAGCCCTTGTTATTTGTACGTAACACTAGCATAACACATTGACTTATAGCACTTAACCACTGAGCTTTCAAGCTGTAAGGTATCTATTGCTGTACGAAGGTTCATCGTATTTGAAAGAACATGTTCCATTTTCACCAGTAAGGAACAATCAGCAACTCTGTAAAGAGTGGAGTAAAGTAGTCTGCTGAGCTAGAGTACAGCGAGATAAAATGAGACTGAGTCAGTGGGTCTCAGCTAGCAGTTGAACTGTTCAATGTTGTTTTATGTTTCAGGAAGTGATCAGAAATCTAGTAAAAAGATATGTTGCAGCAATGATAAGAAATTCCAAAACCAATGAGGGGTTAACTGAAGAAAATTTTAAGGTAATTCTGTATTACAGTTACCTACAATAGTGATTTTTGTTATGCTCTCAGAGTGGATAAAAATCAACAATTAAAAAAAAAAAATCAGATTTTTTAATTTTTTTAAAAAGCTTGGCTGGGATGATCTAGTTGGGGATGGCCCTGCTTTGAGCAGGGGGCTGATCTAGATGACCTTCTGAAGTCCCCTCCAACCCTAAACTGCTATTATTCTATGATTCTATGATTTTTTTTTATTTTTAAGATGCCTTTTTTTAAAAAATTAACCTATATAAAGATGGTTTTAGTTTAAGATATGTTAAAGCTCAAAGATATCATCATGGACTAGGGATTATAACTTCTAATTATATATTGTTTGAGACAAAATATTCATGTAACCTTTTTATAAATAGATCACAACAGGACATGTACTATATTAGGGGCCCAATCTTATGGGGTTCCCTGAGGCTTCTCTATAGATTAGTAAAGATTAAAGAAAACTAGGGGTGTACCAGTAGAGGTTTTTGGGGCCGATACTGATGGCCAATTTTTAATGAGCCATATTGGCTGATTCCGATCTAATTGCTGATATGCAGCTGGCAGTCTTGGAGAGCAGTGTCCAGCTGGTAAGTCTGTTGTGGGGGAAGAGGCGAGGGGGGAGGGAAGAGGCATGGGGGGAAGATTGAGGCCCCCGCTGTGAGGGAGCGGCCGGGGCTGGGGCAGGCACTGCACAGCTGGGGCACAGCGCTTGACAGGAGGTGTGGGGGCAGAGAGCAGAGAGCTTGGCAATGCCCCCATCCCCAGCCCGCAGCAGCACCCTGCCCTAGCCCCGTGCACAGATCTAGGGGCACACCCCCCCATAACCTCCCAGGGTGCATGCAGCAGTGGGAGCTGCCTGCCCCCTCCCTGTGCCTCTTGGATGAGCTTGCGCTCTGTCCCGCACCCCACCCCAGCTGGACAGTGCCTGCCCCTGCCCCTGCCCCTGCCTCTGCTCCATTCCCTTCCTCACTGCGGGGGTCTTCATCTGCCCCCCCCACACCCTTCCCTTCCCTTCTCGCTCCCCTTCCACCA